GGCTGAAAGTAGAATATCTATACTAGTTAAAGCTGCTGCATGAAAAGTTCGCAAAAACTGCTTTCTTTAGCAGCACATACTTTCACTAGTTACTGCAAAAAGGACTAATCAATTACCAAAAAGGAAATTGTGTAAGGCCGAAAAGACGTGCAAAAAGGTTATATCCTAGATAAGTGATAACCACAAGTCTCAATGATTGTGTTTTGCATTCTGCAATATTCCCGTGTAAGTGCATCTTTCAAGCATCCAACACATTATAAAATTAAAAAATAATAATGGAACATTTATTAACACTTCATATCATCTGCATGAAAAACAAATGTAAATATATACACAAACAAACGCACGGGAAATAACGAAAGATCGCTCATATACCTGCACACTCGCAGTGACCGACGATTAACGCGAGAACGACTGGGGGAGGCGGGGGGGGGGGGGTCGTTGAACCGACGTTCCGTTCATGGCCATAAGTTCGACCTCATCCACGACCAGACGGCGTTTAGTGATAGACGGAACCGGAGACCCTTGTTGTCGTAGTTGTCCTCCATTGTAAGTGGTAGTCGACGGAAGAACTGACCAGGCCCCATGCCTGGAGCAAAAAAAAAAAACTGGATCAGTTCCAAGATTTTTTTTCTGTTGGGAGCTATTTTCGCAAACAACACAACTTTCCTTCAGACCAAGAAGCGCGATTTGCCAAAGTCGGAATATGAAGCACTTAAACAATATAAGATAATGTCAAAAGATACGTGTCAGACTCACCAAAGTCGATCAACGTCGGTGTCGGTGGCATGTGTCGGTGGCAAATGCTCATGTACCACCCGGCCCCGAGCACTTCACTTCACTTCACTGCACTGCTGCACTGCACTTCCCTCCACCTCACTGCCTCCCGGAGCAGGGGCACGCACTCCCATGCCACGCACGACGGATTCCACCGACAATAGCTGATTTAAGCTATCATTCCAGAGCTATCACTCGGTGGCATGTGCCCGGAGCACTTCACTTCACTTCATTTCACTTCATATAGGTACCGGAGCACGTGCACACACTCCCACCACGACCAACGGACTCCACTAAAATGGCGCAACACGTGGCCGGAAACAGCTGGCACGCGCATGCGCATATCGCTCTGCGCCGTCAAAAGGTGCTAAAGGGCTGGTGATAAGACTCCCAGAGATTTGTAAAGCAGGGCTTAGCTATACTTTCTTTGGCGCCAATTTCAAATTTGTTTCCTCTGTAAGCATGTCCGGTTCTATTGTGATACTAACGTAAGCACCATATTCAGCATTATCAACTTCTAAAACACTTAAAATGGTTCTAATTAGAAATCGACTGGGTACTAGCAGAAGTAGACGTTAAGCTCAGTAGAAGAATAGGTGATCTAAACTTATAATATTTGATGGGAATGTTAGCTATCATTAGCACAGTATTAGCACCATGCTTCTTTGTAAATACGTCGTAGGGTTCTTTTGACGCTAAAAGGTGCTACGAATAGCAACCGTTAGTACCCCAAATGCTAAACTTTTTTTACAGTGTGACCTGACCTGTGACGTCATCGGCGACCCCGAGGTCAATGAAATTTGGTTTCTCTAGAAAAATTCGACAGGGCTATCGAACGCCGTTTGAATTTTCCGGATCCGTCTAGTAGTTTCGGAGATACGAGGGGGGCAAAAAATGCCCCCCCCCCCCCATCGCGCGGAAGGTGGCTGGGAGGCCCACCGCCTGCCGGGTTATAGCTTATTTTCACATCGCTGATGAAGTATGCGGAGTCTGGCATTTTAATCTCATCGCTTGTCTGTGAAATATTTACACTCACTCCGTCATTATTTCTATTTCTGTTTTGATCTTTTAAGACATTAAGATTCTGTGCGGATTGAGCTCCGAATATAGTTCCTTTGAATATAGTCTCATTTCCTCGTCTGAGCTCTCCAGGATTGCGTGCACAGGTGAGCTTAGTTCGTCTTCGCCAGCCATTTCAAATGCCCGCGGAAGGTCAAACGTCCGCTCACGGGCTAAAGAGCTGTGGCCTTCGCTGTTGCGATGCGATTACCGCGTGCTGCAAAGGAACGGGCGTGGTTGTAAGATCGAGACTGATATGTTTGCGTACACGACTCTCATCACTCTGTAGTCGCTCCTTTCCTCTCTGCGTATGCAACTTTTTCTCTCGTTGTGCGCGCGTTATGTGTCCGATTTCCATATAATTATCCTTCATCATCTCTCCGCGGACGTATGTACTTTGGCCTCTTTTTCTGCCCTAGCCTTTCCTGTTTGGTCCCACACAGCACACACACGAAGACTCCCCGATGTCTGGCCTGCACACACGTCCTTTCTCCCTAAGCACAACCTCAGCTCCCTCCCTTTAGTGCACTTCCCTCGAACCATGTACTTACATAGGCACGACATTCATCCGAGCACCACTTACTTTCCATCTATGGTCATTGGCCATCAACCACCCCTCCATCTGTCAAACGGTCGTTGACGCCAAGTCAACGCACGGCCCTCTCCCTATAGACGGCATTCAACCATCAGTCAGGCTGCGATCCAGTGACGTAGGTACATGACGTCACTGATTTTAGTAGGCGCGGACCGCTGCTGCAGTGCGGAAATGCGTCCCGGAATCTGCATACATCCATAGGGATTAGGGGACGATCCAAAGAGCCGCTACGCCCGATCAGCCCGATATGGCGAGCGGTGGTGGTGGTCCCGAATGCGTGGCAGGGTAGCGAAAGGGACCAGTGTGTGTACCTAGGGTAGAGGTGTCCAAAGTCCATGAGTATCGTGTCGCTGTTTCAAAACTGCAGTCCATTAAAAGGTCCACGTTTAGTTCCGCTTTCTTCTTTTGATTGTTATCAACATTGCACCATCTAGAAAAAAAAAAAAACACGGAGGATCCTAGCTAAGCTATAGCCGCTATAGCTTGGTTCCATCCGTCGCTTTCAAGTTTCATACAACACACGTAGGCAGTTATCGTAGAACTAATTACACCGTTCTGCTATTCCAGCCTCCATCGCAGACTTGAGACTGCAGTCTAAATCTTCTGAGTTCTGAGATCCAGCACTAGCCGAGTGGCGCAGCAGGTCTCTCCTGCTACACGACACCGTCTCGTGCCCACCACGTGCCCGTACCGCATCGTTCGTCTATACCCAGGGTAAGTCTGCTCTGGAGCACGAGCCTCGTGTGAAATTCAATAGCACTTCTACTTCTCTGAGGGGGTGAGGGAGGGGGGGGGGCAATGGAGCTACACCAGTCACCAGTCGCCGCACCAAATAAGAAACGACTTTTGGGGTTGAACTGAGCCCCTCTCTTCTCCTTGTCTCCTTACTTCCTCCTTCAGTCCTTCCTCCAGTGCATTCCTGACTAATCCTCAAAGCAGTTATCTCTCCCGTTTATTCGCTAATCCATCTACATATTACACACCGCAAACATCGCCGCCCCGTGCTCCCTAGCCACGCTGGTCCACCTGTGGTCTTTGTTTTATCCGCATTACACCCTCCCCCACCCTCCTCCATCCCCTCCCCAGCTGGGTGCCCCATTGTTTCAGTTGGACACCTGAACCCGTATAGGCAGTACCCCCCCCCCCTAGTCCCCCCTTACAGGTCCGCCGGCGTCCGGTCCGAGTCAAAGTATCCAGCAGTGACGTCACGGAGACGCCCAAACCCGGCCGGGAGAGGGGGGGGGGGGCTGGCCTTGGAGGAACACGGCCGGACGGCGGACTACCACTGACGGGCAACGGCATCAGAGTAAGGCGAACGGTTTGGGAGGAGTGTTGAATGCATCTCGATTCTCGGGCGTAGCAGTAACAGTGGGGCGAAACAGAACCGCTTAGTCTGCGCGGTGTGTTTTGTTTGGTGCTGGGTGGCGGCATGATTTGAGACATGCCTAACATTATGAGAAAGGTTATTGTTGTTTTCATGCAAAAAAGTACGCAGCTGAGATAGGATGCGCAACGTCACCCACGCTCCAGCCTGATCTGATTCGGCTGCCGGTAAACCACTAGCCGCGAGCGATCAACTTACGTACGGATCTGCCAGCATACCTTACCAATGACGCTGAGCCATTTCGTACGAATTACCTGTCATGTCCCCATCCTCCTCACCCAAATCCCCTACCCGTCTCCTCTCGTGCGACCGCACGTCTGGTGCCGTTTTAATTTTTAAACATCCCCCGCTCATGTGACACAGCGCTGCTAGCGACATCTGTCCATTTAAAATTCGTCATGTGACATATCGTCGACAGGGGCTCGCTTCGGACCGTGACCTGAAGATGACAGGATGGGCAGATGAAAAGGCGCTCGACAACGCGCTGGTGGTTCGGTCACGTGACTCCTTATTAGCACAGGAGATGTCTGCTTATATGCCGTGTGAGAGCATTGATTGAAGGTATATCATAGCCGGAAGATCTTTTATGTGATGACGGAATTGGTGAGAAAAATGAGATTAAAGAAACTAACCGACTCAATTTCGTGAAAACTAAAGTGAATGGTAAGATGAATGACAATGTTATTTTATGAATGTCTATAAAACTGAAATCGTGAAAGGCTGTAGGTTCACTATCATCCCATAGATATCATTATAAAAACCACGAGAACAAGACTTTTCCGAAATCTTTTATTATGTGCCCCAGTTCGCCCGCTTGCCGTCTACACCGCCAAATGTTTTAAAAGGTGCTCCAGACCAGAACGGTGTGTGATGAATCGCCAAAGTTGTATGGGCTAAGTGAAGACCATGTCACCACGTCGACAACTAGAGAACGGAATGTTGACCAAGTTTGGCGAATGTGTTGCACAATAAATACCAGCATTCAGCCCCGAACCAATGTTCGGTTGTTTTGGTTCCATGGTGTCGTGTCCAGGTCGCCATGGACTGCCTGTTTTAGTGTAAGCGCGCCTCTTCGTGTTCTTCATTCAGCTGTCCTTTGTTTGCACGGGTTTACCAAACCACAGCAGCCAACTTGAGTCTAAGGCTAAGGCTCCTCATACCCCTCTCGGTCCAGTGGCTCCAGAATATAGCTTAGACATGTATTCAATATTGTGAGTTAGCATCACGTACAAAACATCACCGAAAATGTACAAACAACGCACATTCTGGCGAATTCACGTCAAGCACGATAACAGCGCACGGACCGACATCGGCTCACCATAGGCGTCGCAAAAAAATATGCAGTGAACAACCGCTGAGCCCCCAAAAAGCAGTGAGCTTCACTCTGCCGCCGCCAGAGGCGCCAGTGTAGTCCAGCTTCACTCTCCGGCCGCTAGTGGCGCTAGCGTCGCTTTGCGCTCCTCTCGTCGGGAGAGGAACATCAGGGCGACGTTTTGATGTTTTTGCGAGACGTTACGGGCACGCCGTTGGTTGTGATGTAATGCTTTAGCGCTACCAGACTACAGGGCAAGTACGAATCAGCGGGCACAGCTGCTATTTGGTTTCAATGCGAAGAAAACTAGCGGCATCTGGTGGCATTCTATCAAAATTGTACACACCCAGAACGATTCAGCTCAAATAGAGATGCAGTAATCTTTCTTAGCAAGCTTTTTTTTTAGAGAAGAATAACTATCCCGTCATTCGGTGCAAATTTTGATCGCATTAAAGCCAAATATCAGCCGTGTAACATCTGATCGCCTTGTGGCAGCACAGTCGCCCCTAACTCGAGCCCGGCCCCGGGGTCCGCACATATGCCCTCAATGAGGCGCCACTGTCCGGCAGAAAATTTCTCCCTGTCAAGCTTCACAATACTGGCAGCTCCGCGCCCAGCCGGCTGGTGATTTTAAGCCCCATCGCGCGCTCCACGCTGACGGATTTCCACAGATAATTGACATGTGTCGATAACTAAACCACCTTGTGCTATGTCCGCATCCACATAACAAACCGCTATTCGAAGGACGCTGAAAAAGCCTGGCCTTCGACGCTCGGTTGCGTTTCTACCGACTGATGACGCGGGAGTAACAAAGCGCACACAGGCCGGCAGCGCGAGCGACACCCCGAAACAAGTACACTGTCGGCGCGGCGCGCTACCCTACCGTTTGTACTGACTTCTCACGTGTTGGTACGTGCCACCGCGTTCCGTTCTCCGTAACTGACAGGTCAGGCAAGAGGAGCACAGAACACGCACATTTGCTAATCGCCGCTTGAGCAGACACTGATACCACAATCCCCGTGCGCCGCACAGTCTAACTAAGCAGGACAAAACACACGCGTGGCTGGATTCGGGATGCGAAATCAGAACAGACACGAACACCAGCTGCCAAACGTGGCCAAATTTTACCCGACAAACGCATTTCACCCCACTTAACCCACGAATAAAATGACACAGGCGGACATTTTCACCAAATACTCCCCGAACGACTCAGAATGAGGCGTTCGGCCTGCCCTTACATGCACCGAGGTTTTCTCAATGGATAGCATGCCCCACCACGACAGACTCACAAAACATTCACAACTGAGCAGACACCCCCGGTCGGTACTCGTCATGTACAGCGACGAGCAAATACGGGGACCTGCGACCGACAGCCAAAAAAGCCCGACCACTGCCACTCCACTGGGTGGTTAAAGACACGTTCTCAAATACCCCATGATAATAAACACACAACTTTTCAGACCAGACCCTTCGTGTAGGAGTGAATTTGAAATTTCACAACCCCTAAAACGTGGTTCGCTCGTTTTGTTTTTCCCAAGACTCGCGAGGACACAACGATGGCTGGCGGAGAAGGCGGAGGGAGCTCGTACAGCGACATCTACAGATGGCGCTGTGATCGATACAGTGTGCCGCCTCTGAAAGCGTGCTAGAGAGGAAGCACGAAGCTGTTCAGACACAAAACTTAAAGAAATAGAGCAAAATAATTAACCAACAGCAGCGGTAAATCCTCTGTGGATGATACACAGATTACCTGTACAAATTACTGAATTATTGGTTAAATAGTGTCCAAACAAGAAATAGCGGACAGTAGACAAACGGCAGTGGACAGTGGACACTGAACAGTGAACAGTCACCAGTCGAAATGTGTTTACTTACGAGACAACGTGGAAGGGAGTAGTAAAATGGGAAGCAGACTGATAACTGAACCCGGTACAATGCATACCGCTAACAAGCACGACAGTCGCGCTGGACGAAACCCCTCACACAATCACAAACCCCCTCACAATTCCTACAAGCGACAGACAACCCATGCCCACAATATCAGCACCCCCTCCGGCAGAACTGTGCCATGCGCCGCCCGAATAGGGCTCAAAGCCACCAGCACAGCCTAAAGGCACCCCGTCCCGTCCTCTGCTAGACCGCCGAGCGGCCAATGTCCGCCCTCTCAGAGCCACAAAACACCTCCCAAAGGGACTGACGTCAGACGCCCAAAACGACAGTACTCCTCCAAAAGGG